TGCAAGTGAACATCGCTTTATTGTGCCAGCCCAAAGAGGCACAAAATCACTTTCACTAACTTTTAAATTAAATGTTCCCTCCTGGTGGAATGACCTGCCCAACTCAATCCCAGCAGCTGAGTCCTTAGCCATCTTCAATAATCGGCTGAAAACACATCTCTTCCATCTTTATTTGACCCTCTAACTCTAGCACTCTCTATTCTAATTCTATTCTTAAAAAAAAAAAAACTTGCCCCTTTTAGACTTACACTCTATTTATTTTCTAACTGCTTGTTTTCTTTAAAAAAAAAAGCTAACACTTGCTTTTCTAATCTTTTTGTATTCTATTTATTTTCTTTTTATTTATTATACAATTAACAAAAGCAAAAAAGGCCTCTAACACTAGCTTGCTCTATTCTTTTTCTATTCTATGTTTTCTTTTTATTTATTATATGATTAAACCTTGCTACGTGTACTGCATTAAGCTAACTGAGACTTGTTATAGCACTTGCATATCATTACTCTTTTGTTGATTTTGATTGCTTCTATTGTCCTCATTTGTAAGTCACTTTGGATAAAAGTGTCTGTTAAATGTCTAAATGTAAATGTAATGTAAATGTTTAGAAAAATATAACCTATTTTTCTCGAGGGTTTGAAACTTTTTTCTTATGGTGCCACCTAGTGGACAAATCTCTCAATTAATTTGTCCCATTTTGTCTTGCAAAATCTAGCTATTATCTACTAAACCACTCCAATTGGTCATTGAGTCAACAATGTTTTAGATGAAATGTAACTTTAACTTAAAAGAAAAAAAATACCATGGATTTTATGACAGCTACACTGGGGGAGTCTGTTTGGATTTGGTAGTATGAAACTAGCATCTATTCTTGCTTCTGTTAGTGAGAAATAAATATTAGGCCTTGTATGGTATAATGTTTTCCCTTCACACACACATAGTGGTAAAATGAATAGTATTCAGATTTTTACTATATTTTATTACATCAGTAAGAAGAAAAACATGTTTTTTACTACTATAATAATCTAGAATTGTGTTTTTTCTAAATATAACTAAAAAGAACTATCTCTGTTTTTTAGAGGAAACATACATCAACATCGAGTCAGTCTGATGCGATGGAAGATGCATCAACAAGCTCCTCTACCCCTGTGGCTACACAACCCCCTTTGAAGCAAGCAAGGATAGGTTCAGGGCTTAGCGTGTCACAGCAACGTGTGAACAAACTGGTGTTTAACTTTCTGGTTGATGATGTAAAGTGCTTTTCATTGGTGGAGCAGCCATCCTTCCGAAAATTGATTGAGGGAATCAGTGGCGGGAAGAAAGTGGTGTGCAGAAAAACTCTGATGCAGCGCATTGACAGAGAGTTTGCTGTAATGAAGGAATATGTCATCACCAAGTTTATTAATGTGGACACTGTCTGCACGACAGCAGACATTTGATCAGCACAAAACCACAGTTTCTTCGGAGTCACATGCCATTGGATTGACAAAGACACGCTGGAGAGACATTCTGCAGCATTGGCATGTACACGTCTCAAAGGTCGACACACCTATCTGGAATAAAGCACATAGGTCTTAATTGGCCACAGAAGTGATTCAGGAGATTGCCAATATACATTTGACTGTCCCATCAGTCACAAGATGGGACAAAACTTGCAGGGCTCCCAAAAGAAAAGCTGAGGGAGATCTGTGATACGCTTGATGTACCAAGGCTTCATCCACAAGAGTCTGCATTCCTAAAAGAGTACACTGAGGTTCTGAAGCCTCTAGCTGTTGCCATTGACATTCTCCAGGGTGAAAGCAAATGTTACCTAGGATTTTTAATCCCTACTTTGCTTAGCCTCAAGACAAAGCTATTTGAAAATATGCCTCATTTGTTTTATAATGCACACATTGTCATCACTATCAGTGAGGCTATAGAAGAGTGCTTTGGATCAGTGTTAGCCAGCCATGAAGCAAAGATGGGGACCACAACACTGCCAAAGTTCCGCTTAAACTGGCTTAGCCCTGAGAAGAGAGATGACACGAGGAGAACCTTACTGCAGGAAGCTATTGCTCTGGAACCACTGCACAGTCCAGCTACAGTGAGTACGTTTACATGGACAACAATATTCTGATTTTAACACGATTAAGACAATACTCTGATAAAGAATCTACCATGTAATCAGAAATTTTTTATCTTAATCTTAATCCGGCTAAAGACATACTCAAAGTAAACACAAATCAAATTAAGACGTGGAGTATTTTAGTCGCATTATTGAAGTGCAGTACAGACATGAACACACCTTAATCACACTATTACCGTCGTGTAGGACTTTTTGCCGCATTTTGCGTCAGGCTACACAGAGCAGTGGTCAACTGTTTGACGGCAAACAAAAGAGCATGGCTTCAACAACGCCATCGTCTGTTTGCACATATAGCATGACAAATAATTAACTGCACTTGAAGCTTTTGTAAAATAAAAAATAAAACACCCAAATCTGTATATGACACCATAACGAAGACAAACTATGTTTATTCGTGAAATTCTCGAGGGGACGTCGGATGGCGTCACCTGGGGACGTAATGATGTGTGCCATTAATCGATCTATGAACTATAACATGTAAAACTGGAATATGAAAGGAATATTCTAAAAGCCACTCATGTAAACACCTTAATCATAATTTAGTCTTATTTAGAATAAGGCAAATAATTAGATTACTGATTGATATCCATGTAAACGTAGTCAGTGAGAGATGACAACTCTGTGAAATCTGATGAGTCAGAGGAAAACTTTTTTGTCTTTAATAATGCCAAATCATCATCTGACAGCACAACTCATGATGAAGTCAGAAAGTACTTAGAAGATTCAGATAACAACCTGACGTCTCTTAAGGCATTTCCCATAGTTAAGAGGCTTTTTATCAAGTACACCACATTGCCTTCCAGTGCTCCAGTGGAGCGTCTTTTTAGTCATGGAGGCAATCTTTTGACCTCATCTTGAAACAGAATGAGTGATGACCACATGGAACATGTCTTACTGCTCCGCTACAACAAACAGCACTGTCCCAGTGACCTAACCCATAATGACTGATGTGTGGTGTGGACACTTTATCTGTCGCTCTATTGTCCAGTTTGATTTTTGGAGGATAAAGAGCACACACAAACACACACACATTTAATTAATTTCTTTCCCTAATTGCATTGATAGCTATGAGACACCAGTGTTTTTCTTTTATTAACTGTTTTAATACCTGTTTTATTGCCTATTTGGGTTTATGTATATGCTTTATTTTTTAAGATTAAGTTTTGTTTTTCTTTTTCAAGGCATTGTTACTTGCCAGTGTGTCCTGTCATAGCTATGCAAAGATTTGATTTCTAAAACAGTATCATAGTTATTAAACTATTTCTTGTTATGATTTAAAATATGTATTTAACCTCAGAATGATTTAAAGCAGTGGTTCTCAAACCTGTCCTGGCGTACCCCCAGCCCTGCACATTTTGTATGTCTCCCTCATCTATCACACCTGATTCAACTCCTTAGCCCTGAGAAGAGAGATGACATGAGGAGAACCTTACTGCAGGAAGCTATTGCTCTGGAACCACTGCACAGTCAAGCTACAGTGAGAGATGACAACTCTGTGAAATCTGATGAGTCAGAGGAAAACTTTTTTGTCTTTAATAATGCCAAATCATCATCTGACAGCACAACTCATGATGAAGTCAGAAAGTACTTAGAAGATTCAGATAACAACCTGACGTCTCTTAAGGCATTTCCCATAGTTAAGAGGCTTTTTATGAAGTACAACACCACATTGCCTTCCAGTGCTCCAGTGGAGCGTCTTTTTAGTCATGGAGGCAATCTTTTGACCTCATCTTGAAACAGAATGAGTGATGACCACATGGAACATGTCTTACTGCTCCGCTACAACAAACAGCACTGTCCCAGTGACCTAACCCATAATGACTGATGTGTGGTGTGGACACTTTATCTGTCGCTCTATTGTCCAGTTTGATTTTTGGAGGATAAAGAGCACACACAAACACACACACATTTAATTAATTTCTTTCCCTAATTGCATTGATAGCTATGAGACACCAGTGTTTTTCTTTTATTAACTGTTTTAATACCTGTTTTATTGCCTATTTGGGTTTATGTATATGCTTTATTTTTTAAGATTAATTTTTGTTTTTCTTTTTCAAGGCATTGTTACTTGCCAGTGTGTCCTGTCATAGCTATGCAAAGATTTGATTTCTAAAACAGTATTAAACCATTTTTTTGTTATGAAGTCTGGTTTTGTGGTGGCTGTGCTTTAAAATTAAATTAATATAAGTTGATATAAAATCAAGTGATGAAAGATTTTGAAATTCTAACAGTAAACAGAGTTGAGTACTACTGTAAGGTTAACCCTGCCTGGTATAAATGTTTGAAAATTATTTAGTTGAAAATATCCATTAGAAACTTAAAAGTAATCCAAAAGTAATCAAATGTAATTAGTTACTTTACTTTTATAAAGTAATTAAAAAGTTACACTACTTATTACATTTTAAATAGGGTAATTTGTAATTTGTAACCTATTACATTTCCAAAGTAACCTTCCCAACACTGGGGTTGGATTAAGGGATCTAAAATATGGTCATGCAGAATAAGTCATTAATATGTGCTTTAGAAGTACTATTAAACAGCTAATATGATAGTAATATGCATGCTAGTTAATAGTGAAGATTGGTCCTTAAAACAAAGTGTTACCAATTATTATTATTTTCTTTCTTTTTTTAAACACTGCTTCAACACTGCAGTCTTTTTTGTGTTGCAAAAAATTATCTCTCATAAATACATCATACTCACCAGGGTTATTGATCTCTTGATCGTAGAGTGGAGAGCTGTATGCCCGTCTAAAACCAGGCGGCTGACAAAGAAGATATTAATGAAAATAAACGGACAAACTGACAGTGCGATTTTACCATATCATATACGTATAATAAAATGTCTCACTATTTTGCCAAAGCATCTCTGGAACTGCACATATGACTGGCACGAGTGGTGAATGTTGGTCTTGCAGTTTTTGCAGCGCAAGGCAAATTTATTATTGACTGAAAGTAGAAAAGAAATCAGTTATTATACCAAATTACATTTTGTAATGGGTACGACTCTACTTATTTCTCTAAATGACATTCACATGAGCATAATATGCAACTTAATTTTACGCACTTTGACACATACACAGATTAGTGCCTACTTCATCATCATTCGGTTGACCTGCCCACTGTCCTAACCACAGACAGAAGAACTACTACAACACCAGGATCACTGGACTAAAAAAAACATCACTTTCTAAAGCATCCCAATGTTAGGACAGTGGCTGTTTATTTTCAACTGTGTGAATGTCTCAGCGGATCCTTTGCTTAAGCTGTTGCAATTCGACACAGGCTTTGCAAACAGACGTGTACAGAAAGATATGGACCTAACAGTAATGCCACAACATTTAAGTAAACAAGTTAACGTATGGGACTTTATCATGTTGGATGAAGCCTGTACTGAGGCTTTACTGATTCTAGTGGAAGCAGAATATTCTATATGCTGTTTTCACTATAGGGAAGACACACACCTACACATACAATTGATTCTTGTTGTTGAGGAGTGATTAGATTTCATTGGCAATGATGGTGTGAGATGTGAACTTACGAACAATCATTCGTGCGCAGACGTCACAAAACTTGGGTTTCTTGCAGTAGTGGTCCTTAAATTTGTGTGGCCTGTCATTGACCTGAACTACAGGCTCAGGGGTCGGAGGGGGAGGGGCCTCTTCTTCCTCCACCTCTTCATCATACACAAAATAAACCTGAGGAGGACAGAAAGTGAGCTGTGTACACAAAATACAGACACAAGGAGAGAGACTGTCATACGTACAGTGTTGTCGTCCTCCTTTACAACATTGTCTGGAGCTGGAGGGTTATCATGAATATCCAGCGAATCTTTATCCTCGAGTCTGAAACACAATCAGCATTTGGATAGTTGTGCACTTATATAATGTTCCTGAAAGACAATGTAATCTGTGGAAAGACTCACTGGTCATATTGAGCCATAAATACAGCCTCTTCAACCTGCAGTCAGTCAGGAGAATTCAGCACCTACACACCATGACACGTAAACTGATCTGATGTTCAATCAAATGATTTGACGATGAAACTCTAACCCTGCTCCTGGAGAGCTACTGTCCTGCAGATTTCAACGCCAAACCCAGCCAACACCCCCGAACCAGCTAACAATGGTGTTCGGGATCACTTGATAATTACAGACAGGTGTGTTAAAGCAGGTTGGAACTGAAGTCTGAAGGACGGTAGCTCTCCAGGAGCAGGGTTGGAGATCCTTGAATTAAAGGGATTACACTTTTACTAACTCACTAACTATCTAATTAACTAAATAAAAGTTTATTCAAGTATTTTAATTAATTAATGCTTCAGAAAAGTACAGTAGCCTATTAAAAACTTTTTTCCACAAATATAGGTTTCTGTTAGTACTCCAGCATATGTTTTACATACTATCTTATAAACATACATATTCAAGTTCATATTAACAAGTTAGCTTTGTGGTAGAATATTTACATTTACATTTACATTTAGTCATTTAGCAGACGTTTTATCCAAAGCGACTTACAAATGAGGACAATAAAAGCTGTCAAAACTAACAAAAGAGCAACAATATATAAGTGCAAATGACAAGTCTTGGTTAGCCTAACGCATTATATATATATATATATATATTATACACACACACACACACACATATACAGAATAGCTTTGGCTTTTGTCGCTTGCTTCATTCATTAATAAATCAGCCAATTTAAATGAATCGGTTAAATTAATGACTCTAGTATCATTTCATTTTTCCAACATTTCATATTTCTAAATTCTAAATTTTATATTTAAAACATTGATCTCATAACATTATTTATACAATTGTAATTGCAAATGCGGTTTCTTTTCACCTCTGCAGTGCAAAGATATAATTTTGTTGATACAGATTTCATTTGATTGGTAATAGCCTTATACTGTTAATTAGTGTAATTAAACAATGCTCAACAGCATAGAACTTTATTTCTTATAAATAATTATGAGAGGGCTGCCTCATAATTATGTTTGCTTTTTCTGTTTGAGCAACTTTGTGTCGTACGGTGTCATTTGATTGTTACATAAAATCAAGATTAGTGTCTGAACCATAAACCTCATATCATATATTGAACCAAATTGTAAAATGCCTATACAGGGTGTGTTGTTAATGCCTGAAATAGCATAATAAGCAGAATGCAGAAGCACTTGTACAAGTCTATTGTCTGAGTGAAAATGAGCCAAAAATCGTGAGATCCTCTATAAGCGTCAATGTGTGTGAGTGATGGTGTGAAAAGTAAGAATTGTAGTATTGATTATTGTAAATAAAATGTACACTTATTTAGGTTGTGATTGCCAGTTGTTGATAAACTAAATCTGCTGTAAAAGGGGCGAGCTGGTTAAGGCCACTGTGTTAATTGCTTGACATGCCCACATCACCAGAGTTTAAGGTACAGGCTAGTTTAACATTACAATAATGCAAATTAACACTGTGTGCATCTTTTTATGTTGCTATAGCAGTTTGCATGTGTAACGGAGGAGGCCTCGTGACAATGGAGTGGGAATCCACTTGCAGGCTTTTATTGTAGAGCATAGTCAAACAGGCAGGGTCAAACACCAGCAAAACAGTACATACAAGGCAATCCAAAAGAGTAATTCACAAAACAGGCAAAGGTAAGGGCAGACAGCAAACAATCATAAACAGATAAACAGTCCAAGATCAAAACACTCAAAGACAAGGCAGGGCAAGAAAACACGGGAATGACACTAGGGGGAAACAGAAAAACCTTACAGGCTAAGCAATCACCAGCGATGTGTTTGTGTGTGAGTGCAGTCTTTATAGTCCTCCTAATATGAGATAGCTGTGAGCTAACGAGGTAATGAAAGACAGGTGCTAGCAATGATGATGAGTGCAGATGAGTCCGGGCAAAGGATTATGGGAAATGGAGTCCTGGGTGAATGGCAAAGGTACAGGATGTACCAGCTGGCGATTGTAACAGCATGAAAGTTATTTTAAATTAACACATTTTGCCCCATTTTTTAAATAAATGTTTATACCATGGACGTTTGTCACCCCACAACTTTAAATGCTGTAATTTTTAAATGCTGTAAAAAAAAAATAATTATTATTATTTTTACTTGTTGCACATTTGAATTATCAGTAACTTTGATATATTATATAGTAAAGCTTATCAGGGAAAACTGTAAATTTACAAAGCAGTTTAACTTCACTGTCTTAAGACAAATAATGTAATTGAAAATCCTGCTCTGCAGATGTCAACGTGTATCTGATGTTAATAAAATCTTGGCCTAATTTTGACAAAGTACTATTTATATTTATATAAGTATTATTTATATATTTATTTATTGCCTTCAGTTGAACTTTGTTTTTATTGTGCAATAATAATTGTGTTTCTACTTATAACTTCTGAAGAAAACATGACAATGACTGTACAGGAGCAGCAACCTTCATTTTGAAACAAGTACAGCAGATTGCATACGTTTGTATAAAGCATAATGAAATATGAAATATTTGTCCAATCAAAAACATCAGTTCAGCCATTTAATATCCCACATAGACTACTATTGTTTTTATATACATTTACATTACATTTACATTTAGCAGACGCTTTTATCCAAAGCGACTTACAAATGAGGACAATGGAAGCAATCAAAATCAACAAAAGACCAATGATATACAAGTGCTATAACAAGTCTCAGTTAGCTTAAGCAGTACACGTAGCAAGGTTTTTACACTAAGGTTCTAGTGTAAGACGCCTTTTTTTGTTAATTGTATAATAAATAAAAAGAAAACAAATAGATAGAATACAAAAATAATAGAGAAGCTAGTGTTAGATTTTTTTTTTTTTTTTTTAAGAAAACAAGCAGTTAGTAAATGAATAGAGTGCAAGTCTAAAAGGAGCAGTTTTTTTTTTTTTTTTTTTCAAGAATAGAATTATAAATAGACAGTGCTAGAGTTAGAGGGTCAAATAGAGATGAGATGTGTTTTTTAGCCGATTCTTGAAGATGGTTAAGGACTCAGCTGCTTGGATTGAGTTGGGCAGGTCATTCCACCAGGAGGGAACAGTTAATTTAAAAGTCTGTGAAAGTGATTTTGTGCCTCTTTGGGATAGTTACAGATACAGATAGTTAGTTTAGATACTTTAGTTAGTATACAGATACTTATTGATTTTATAAGCTAATCCTAAGCCAAACCCTCACAGAAAACATTTAGCATATTTACAATAATAATAATTAAAAAAAAAAAAAACTTTAATTTATACCTGTTTTACAAATGAGGATGTCCCCAAAGGGAGGTTTTTGAAGCTTTTGTCAGGTTTCGCTCACAAATGTGTCCCAAAAATATGGTTAAGTACACACACACATACACACGTTTGTTTCTGTGAATTGTGGGGACTTTCCATAGACTTATATTACTTTTATACTGACCAAACGATATTTTCTATCCCCTAACCCAGGGGTAGGCAAGTTCGGTCCTAGAGAGCCGCAGTCCTGCAGAGTTCAGCTCCAAACCTAATCAAACACACCTGAACAAGCTAATCAATGTCTTCAGGATTACTAAGGCTATATAGGCAGGTGAGGTTTTTTTTCAGGGTTGGAGCTGAACTTGTAGAAGATTTTTATTAATCCAAATAGGAATTAATCAAGTATAATCATTATGAATATAGCCATTTAAATATCCAGTTATACTTCCATTATAATCCCATATGCCTGTGTGTAAAAACAGGCCTACGTGGCTAAAGTAGACAGGCCCTAAGATTAGAAACATCTGGGAAACATAAGTGGGGGCCTTCTTTCTTTACCATAACCAGAACCCCTTCTCTCTAGGGAGAACTGTATGCACAAAGGAACCATTCTATGTATGGAAAACGCCTTAAAGTCAGAACTGTATAAAAAGAAGACAAGATGATCATTCTGCAGATGTTTTGCTGCAGAGAGCATCTCCGTTTTATTCTCATTGATGATGAAATAAAATGTATCTTCTGGCATCGAAACTCAAGACTGAGTGTGGTTCCTCAGACGAGCGGCAGACGACAACACAAACTCTGCAGGACTGCGGCTCTCTAGGACCGAACTTGTCTACCCCTGCCCTAACCCAACCCTAACCCTAAACCTACCCCTTACAGAAAACCTGTTTGCATTCTTACACTTTCAGATAAACATCATTTACTATTTTTAATATATTTTTTTCCCGCAGACCGGTCCCCACAATGTCAAAAATTTCAGGTTTTACTATCCTTGTGGGGACATTTGGTCACGCACACACACACACACACACACACACAGTTTCTATTTCTAGGCCTGGAAACTCTATCTGAAGCCAACAAAATTAGGATCTCTCACTAGGCAGACTTTCAGAGGAAATACAATGGACAATTTCTGTTGTAAATAAATAAATGTAAATGTTGGAACATGTAAAAGCATACATTCTCAACAGGAGGAGTGAATCATGTGACCTAAACTATAGTAAATATACATACCTTTTAATGATGTTTTGCTTTACTATAATCCAATGTCTTCAATGAGTTATCAATCAGAGATGTTGTCCTACAGCGTGTTGTTTATATTAGTTATATATATATATATATATATATATATATATAGTTAATCTTAACTCCTTAATAAGCAGACTGGTCTGAGCTGAGGAACTAACACTTGTAGGTGTACATGTGTTTCTGTGTCAGTCTGAGTGTTTTAAACAGATGGTAAAGAGTAATAAGACCACCCCTCTCTCTCTCTCTCTCTCTCTCTCTGTCCATCTGACAGCAGTGTTGCCAACTTAGCAATTTTGTTGCTAAATTTAGCAACTTTTCACACTAGCAACTTTTTCTTCCAAAAGCACCCAGCAACAAATTTAGCTATTTTAAAAATTAATTTGGTAACTTTTAGCAACTTTTGATAAGTGACTCAAGCGATAAAAAGGCACACATTTTCCATCTTAATTACACAAAATGAGGAAACCAAAGATGTCTAGCAGTACACACATCACATGAATTACAAAGAATTATTCATCACATGAATTATTAAGTGAGCTGCTATTAGCAATTGCTCAATTTAATAATAATAATTGAATAATTGAATAACTGTTAATTTATGATACACTTTGTTAGTAGCTTGTACCTGCGATTGTTGATCAGTTAGTACACTGAAAGAAAAATATCTAGAAAAATGGAAAAGCTACTAGTAATTTTCCAGGACATTATCCGTTATCCATTTTTCATTATCCATTGTAACCCTGTAACCCGAAAACACAAAATACAATGTGTAATTTAAAATGCAGGTAAAAAAAACCTCGGAAAATTCCTTCATATTAACATAGTAGATTGTGCCCTAGTTTCCTAGCTAATAAAAAAACTTAAATTGTAAGCCCTAATTGTTAAAAAATGTGTAAGTGTTCAATAATTCAATGTTGTATTTAAAAATAGTTATTTATATTTTAATATTATATTACGTTATATTATTTTACGAACAAATCTAAATGAACATATATAAAATCTTTTTTTGCTGAGATTTGAAGTAGTGTCAATTTTGCGTCGTAATTACGTAATGATGTCATCGGGCAATGACATCACAACGTCATTTAGCAACTTTTAGCAACAAATTGACCTTCCTTTAGCAACTTCCCCTGAAAATGAGTTGGCAACACTGTCTGACAGACATGCACACATGTGCAGTCACTTCTAGTCATTCACAGATTCACTGCAGGCCTGTCAGTTTGCATCCAATGTTTAACAAAGAAATTGTAACAACAACAGAAAATGTTTGTTTTTTTTCCAGGTGCACCTGAAAACTATAAACTTCCTAGTAGATGCTCAAAAACATTAAATAAGGCACAGCTCTATCATTACCAACATGGTATTTTAAAACCCTTTGGTATTTTTTCCAACTTTACAGCTTTACAGCGATATATGCTTACTGGAATTTGCTCTTTTGAGAGGAAAAATCTTAAGTTTAGCCCTTAAATTCAAGGAGCTTTGTAATCAGATGGTGCTTTGACTTGACTTGCTTTATGGTTTCCTTTGCTAGCACCTGAAGACACAAAATTGGTCTCCTGTCACTGTTTTCATTAAACCAAACTCAATATAATTTTCACAATATTTTCTCAATTTAAATATTTTAGCTTAGCTTTCTCCCACAATTCTTAAAAAATAGACAACTTAAAATAACATGTAATTTAATAGATGTTCTGAAAAATAAACATTTTTGCAGTCTATATAAAAAAATATCCATTATTCAATTAATTATATTTAAAAAAAATGGTTTCAATTAATCATTCAATGACTCACTCAGAATTAACTAGTTTTGTTCCAGGATGAATTAGATTTATTTATTTATTTTGTAATGGATTCAATCATTTGAAGCATTTGAAGTCACTTTTAAAAGGTGATTTTGATCGCTACCGTAGATGCTGTTTTGCGGTGTTGGTAAATTCACCACTTAATTTTGAGTTAAAATATGTTGTTGTAACTTGCGTTACTGAGATTGTAACGAGTAATAATATTACCCAAATTTGATTAGTAATGCGTTATATTACTGCGTTACAGCAAAAAGTAATATACTACTGTAATATTATTACTTTTGTAATGCGTTACTCCCAACACTGGACATTAGTGATATTATCCAAACTTTTCTCTTACTACTTCTGTGATTACTTGAATGTTTGTAACACAGACATAACGATAATGTGTGATTTGAATGTTACAGTCAAGGTTTGTGTGTAGCCATGCAGTGTATATCCCAGTTGTGTTCCAGGCATCATGACAACAAAGTGAGTTCTCATATGTATGAGCGGCTGCTCTCAGGAATGAATGGCCAATGTCATTATTTTGCCTACATAATAAACCTTTCTGGTTTGTGTCACAAAAACCTACAGGATGCCTTCAGAACACACTGAAAATACAGCATGTGTCTTATTATATCTATCCGTGATACTTCAGTATCCTTTTTTTAAGTTTGAGACTGGTTGCTATGCACAGCTATTACATGGATGACTATCAGCAAGACATTTTATTTATTTATTTTATTTTTTTTACAATTTCCCCTTTTGTGGTATGAAAAAGAGAGAAAATTAAATGGTGTGATTCAGCAGAATGTTGTCTCCTCAGGTGTACATTGTGATGTGTTTAGGTCCGAAAAAACAAAACAAAACAAAAAACTAAATGATGGCTCAACTTCTAATCACTCATCAGAGTATGGTGGTGTTTTTACAAGTGCACAGAAAATCTAATAATCCAGTGCTGACCCCCCATAACACCCAAAAAATATATACTTGGGGGGTCCCCTGGTTTTTCAATAAAACTATAATACTTGAAACATGAAACTAGTGAAAATGAAAATTAAATGAAAATATTTGATTGCTGTATTAAATTTAGACCTGCTCATGTTACATATTTTATTTTTACATGTTTTTACAGCATTGCTCATTATAACCAATCACACACCATTCTGTTGATCTTAGGAATGCAGTAGCCAATCAGAGACATTCAGATTGATTCAGACTGAAACTCACAAATTCCCTAATCATAAGCAACAAAGTGCAAGATGTATGTACGATGTAAGAGATTAATTTATCATACAGTCAGGGATGGGCAGTATTTCTGATAAATGTATTTAAAATACGTATTTGAAATACAAAATACTATTTTGTATTTTGTATTTAAATACCTTTGAAAAAAATCTAATGTATTTTGTATTTAAATACATTTAACCTTAGTATTTTTGTATTTTCAAAATACTTTTTGCCAGTCAACATCTTTATTATGCAGTTGATTTCCTGTGTCAACTAGTTCAGACATACCACTTTCATGTGAGCTGCAGCTGTACGAGTCCATCTAGATTTGGGTGAGTGAATTTTCATGATTCCTGTAAGGAAATTAGGAATAATGCTGCCTTCATGTGCAGACATTTCCTACTTCCCAATTCTGAAGTTGTGATTACGAGCTTGTCACATTCAAGTGCTTTGCTGTCGGAAAGAATCATGGAGGAGCCCAGGTTTCTTGGGGAAATTATTTTAAAAAAGCCAAAATCTTTTGAAGATACTTAATTCAGAATCAGCTTTATTCAGAATCAGAATCAGCCTTATTCAGAATCAGAATCAGCTTTATTCGCCAAGTGTGCGCAAATTTTCAGACTGATGAGCTTTGTAAAAATCGACGCGTTTCAGAAAGGCGGGGCATAGAGGAGAAACAATAATGTAAAGTATGTGGAAAATAATGTGTTTTTTGAACCTTAAACCGCATAAACACATTTCATTACACCAAATACACAAAATACTGTTATTTTTAGCAACATCATATGACCCCTTTAAACACTGTTATAATTATGAGGGGATCCTTGGAAAATTCTCTCCCCTGTAAGGGGTCCCTGCCTCCAAAAAGTTTGAAAAACCCTGGTCTAAGTCTTACTGCTCTGTGTGCAGGTGATTGTTTTTAATTATTGTGTTAATGAATTTAGTTGTACTGGTTAATTTGCATGTTCTGTGTTCTTGTCTTTTTAAAAGTCATGTTATTTTCTTTAAATGAACATATATAGAGTCACATAAAATGGATGGTGTAGTCTATGTATTTCTTGTCTGTTATTATACTTCTGTTATCATTCTAATCCAAGAAGTGCAGGGGAGACGTGAGTGGTGAGCAATCCGACAATTTGTCATCTTTTTATTCTTCCTAACAATACTACAACACAACTACGGGTTTCCCAGTACATACAACGTAACACAGAGGAAATTAAAGGAACGCAGAGAAATCAATTCTTGTTTCATGAATACACAAATATCCAATGTATTTTATTCTTCCTAGTTAATAATGTATGATCACAATGGGTATATAAGCAACTTACTTCCGCGTTCCGTAAACCATAGTACATCACTTCTGGTTTTTACGCTCTACGCTGACATGGTGCTGCTTTGTACACAAAGCCTTCAGGAGCTGCCAAAGACGAAAATGTCCATCTCACTTGCAGAACACAAGCTTCTAGAGGCACATAACTCTGAAGTAATGAATATGGATATATATGGATATGCACGTTAACATCCAAAACACCGGCCACCAAAATGGACAAGGGATTTTAGATATATGCTTCCTTATACACAATGGACTACGAGGTTATGTAAGCTAGCGGAACAAAAATGCTGTACAATATGTCACTATCTAGCTAACATAATCTACCTAGTCTTTTTATGGACGTATGGCTCTACATATTCACATTAACACACTGGGAATTTTTTCACCAGTATCAAATAAAGACAGGCTGACTGTTGATGTCAGCATTAGGGCAGCCTCTCACAGGTCTATGAGGAAAAGCGAGAAGCCACACAGCCTGAGAGTACCGTTAGGGATGGTGTGGGTGTTCTGTTCCAGTTCTGTTTTGAATTTTGCTATGGGTTTGATTGCATCATATAATAATTGCTGTTAATAGTGTTCATCGTCTGTTTGATTACGTTTTTAATTGATTTTTCCGTACATTTCTGCCATATGTACATTAACTGACAGTCACCACTGATAAGCTACTACTAAATATTGTAGAAACTTAATTTTCTGTAAAGTTGCTTTGCAACGATTTGTATCATTAAAAGCGCTATTCAAATAAA